AAGATATTAAACAGTACTGGTCTCAATATGGACCCCTGCAGGATGCCACTCATCACCAATCTCCATCTGGACATTGAGCCATTGACCACTACCAAGTGGTACATGATAGTACATGAAAAACCATAAAGTGTCTTTTTATCACCTTATCTGTGCTTCACTGACATGAATTGAGAGATAGGCTTTTGTAATCTGCATTAAAGCTCTAAGTACAGCAAAGTGTTCAGTAGTTGCCAGTAAGTAGAGTGGTTTGGTGATTTCAATCTCAAACTTGAAATTAGGATTCCTGTGTTTACTTCCTCTGATTCCTGTATCTCTGTTCATGTACGCAGATGGCTTGATCAATTCTGCTTTCACTGCTTATCTTCTCCAGCACCCAGACTTACCAAATGCAACCTCTCCTGCTACTGAAAATTCTTAAGAGTTTGGGCAGTGGAGGAGTGAGAGGAAATATGACCATGCACACATTTATAAAGAAGCTATACATCAAATGCTGGGACCCAACTGAGGGGGGATCTTCACGGGGGTTTCCCCAAGTGGTTTGAATTAGCTCTTGGGCTCCACCCAAGTTTTCTTAGCCAGAACTTCTGGAACGTGGTTATTGCAGAAGGATATTAAAGCATTAATCATCCTATTATAAAAAAGTTCAGTTAAGACACCAAAGGTTCCTGTTACTCTTTCCAACTCTTATTATTTCATTTTCTTTGAGATCTAAGACTAACTCAAAAGAAAAGCTGGAATACAAGTCACCGTGAAATGACGTACATTTCATTGCGGTGTGTGGGAAGAGCTGGCTGACTGCGAAACAGCAAAGCAGTGTTGCTAAGCAGCTGCCTTAAAACAGTAATGTCTTCTTCCATCATACGTAAAGAGTTGGAATTTCTAAAATTCGCAATACCAAAAAAAAAAAAAAGCATGACTGGTTATTTTATTCTGTATTCAGAAAATGAGTAGCATCTTGCATACACTTACATTCCCGTAATTACTAAGATTAGTCAGAAATCATTAGAGTGAGAACCTGTTCAACCTTCTCTCAGTTCCACATATATGAGTCTTTACTTTAGATAAGATAACTTGCTTTACTATAAAGTAATTTGGCTCTTCCGTGGAAAAGTTTCTCAATAACATTCCATGCATACAGCATGCGAGTCAGAAAACACCAACTAAGTTAAATTAATGAATCAGGCTGTCTTTGCGACAACACTGATCCTAAAGGGCAACCACTATATGCAGGGCTTTACTCTAAGGCTGCATGTACACTTTACTTGAGAGGCCTGAGGGAGGAAAAAAGCCTGGCTATAGCTAACACTGGAATCATGCCCAGTCCTCCTCAGCTGGAAGTAAAACTATAAGCTCAACGTCTTGACACAAACAGGAATAGGATGGCAGTAGGAGGTGGGGGGAAACCCACACACCACAGAAAAACAACTTGTCTGTGAGGATGCCATTTTTGTTTCCATTTATCCTACCCTTAGTTTGCTTACAGTTTTTTCATTCAGAATATTATCCCCCCCATCCCTACAACTTTTTTTCTTTTGTTCATCAGAGGTTTGTTTCTTTCCTACATCTGTATTGCCAAAGACTAGGCTTTTATTTCTGTGTGGTGCAGAGGTCTGGTAACTTTTTAGCATCTCCCACAAAACTCTTTTCTCTCTGCACAGAGAACCCCAAATCCCCTAGCTGTATTCAGGGTACAGCAGCAGAAACCTCAGTACCAGCTCCGCACTATCTTCTGTCCAACCAGTATTAATTATTACAGCACTATCTAGGTGTTACAATGGGCAGTATAATTACTCAAACGCAACAATTCTGAGGGGAAGAACACCCACAGTAAAAGTTACTGTCAGTATGCAGCCACAGAAGCAGCTCAGAGAAACAATACAAAGAGAAGTGTCATCAAGAGTGTTGTGCTGGGGACATCACCCAAAATATTTGCAACTCCGGGGAAATTGCAGAAAGGGTAAAGGAATGTGACCTGCTGGACAAATGGCTCTGCTTACTTACTGTTCAATGCTGCAGGAAAAACCAGTAAAGAGAGCGAGCTCTCCCTTTTACTCCAGTCCTGTGCTCGCTCAGGGTGAAGAAAAAGAAAACTGGAGATAAACCAGGACACAGCCATTCAGAAAAAGCAGAGTGGAAAAACACGAACAGGTTAACGGCGCAAAGAGGTAATGAAACATATCTTAATTGGATAACAACGAAAAGTTCTTACAGATAGCCACAAAGCTTTCTAATTCCCTCTCCTCTACCAAACACCTACATGTACACATATATGTACGTTAGAGGGGGAAACCGCAGCACCTCGAGATAGCACAAAAATTGGGCAAACATTAATACTTTTACTTAAAACATCATAATCAACAGATTCAGAAACTGATAACTTCTACAAGCAGTAGCATGAGACCAAATTCTATAAGCTCTAAATTTTCCCACAAATGTGGCAATCTGGGAAATAAAATTAGCCTAAGTCACACATGTCCCAAATGACACATCTGGGAACAAATATGGTTACCTATAGCTTTATACTGCATCAGCACTTGGCAAAATACAATCACAAACTGTAAGGAAATGCCAGAGATGCAGATGCCCGAAGTGCAACTTCATTTCTCAGAAAATAAATTAACAGCATCCAGCCAGGACATTAAAAATTATAATTTTTTCCTGAAAGAGAGAAAATTACTATAAATTATCAGAGCACAAGCCTGTAAACAAAGACAACAAAGTATCATGGATAGTGACTGTAAGAATCCTAAAACAAAAAAGATGCTGAAGATGGCCTGTCAAGGAGACTACAGAGATGAAATTATATTCATTACTTCAGCTGCTTGATCCTGATTGCCCTACGTAGCCTGTCTATTCTGTCCTCTGATCTGCAGCATATGAGCTAAAAAACCATTGAATGGCAACTACAAAACTAATTATGTTAGTTTTAAGATGATGTACATAGTGAAGAAGCAGCAATCAGCATTGATGCAAACAATATAAAAATAGAAGGACACAGATTGCTCAGATATACCAAGCACAAAGTAGTTCAAAATCTGGAACCCGATCTACACTTCAGCTTGTACCTTAATTATGAAGAGTAAATAGGAAGCAAGAATATATATTTCCTTTCACTGAAAGACCTAGGCACGAATCTAGATCATTAAAATTCAGAAAAAAATATTTGAGAGATCATAATCTAACAAAGGCTAGGAACCATAGCATAGTTGTCTTTCACAGAAACTATCTATCTATGAGAATTTTTGGAAGCTGTAGCATAAAAAGAAAAATTTTAAAAGTTATTCATTGACAAAGGATTTTTGCAAGTCTACATGAACTATGCCATTGGCTAAAAATTCCTATGGTAGAGGTAAAGCGCAATCAGAGCATCAAAGTGGAGAAAATAGTAAGTATGTGTTTCCTAACTGAAACCGTTGAGCATTTTCAAGTTTCACTAGTAAGTTCCCATGTGCTTTACTGTATTTGTAAAGGAGTCAGAAAGCTGAGAAAGCCATATATGAACACCACACAAACTAATATAGTGTAGAAGGAGCTGTAACGATCTACATTAAGTGAACAAGCAATATGAATGATTGCATATGATACTCAATGAGATTTTTAAATTAGAGCATATTGGATGGAAGAAAAACACTTCTAACAAGATTATTTACAGTAGCCCAGGCACCATTTAGCAAGCAGAGCATGCTACTGCATCCAGACAAGGACTCAGAAAGGAAGGAATGAAATATTGCTTATAGCACATTGCTCTACCATTATGTCTATACACACGTGTGTGTAGCCATATACATGTACATACACACACACGGTTACAATTAACACTACATCCACCGAACTTCAGCCTTCAAGCCTTAGGGAGTCCCCCCTCTGCTCTAATCGCGAAGGCTGACTCGCAGATGCTCCGAAACATCTGGCAATGTCTTTCCTAGGAAAGAACCCGTTGGGGTGGGAGGGCTGCGTGCCCACCGAGGAAGGTAAACGCTGTGTTCCCAGCTGGTTCCTTTCCCGTAAATGCCAGCAGAGGGCCCGCTCAGCCAGAGAAGGATCGTTCCTGCCTCTCTCCATCTGAGTGGCCGCGGGAGCTGCAAACCACAGGGCAGCAGCGAGTTTGCGGTTCTAAGTACCTGGACAGCTGGACAGCTTCTAGGTGTCACAGCTGGCCTTTGTGCAACAGTCCCCGTGTGTTTGCTTATGAGGATGTTCCTACCCTAAAGCGGAGGTGCCGGAACAGAAGACCTGAACAAGAATAACAACCCTAGCACAACAGGGCACGACTTGGGGAAGTAACATACCATGTGACAATTTTTCCCACCCAACACATGATCACCAGGGAGTGGGTTTACTGTCCCAACAGGCAATGATTTATAAACAGGACACACACTTATTGGCTGCTTGAGACTGGGTGAAAGGATTCGGGGGGGGGCCTTCAAGATTCGTATCTGCAATGGCAAAATGCAAATATACCCCCAGACTAAGCAGCCTTTAGTCAGTTTATTCAGCATGGCACTATGTGCCCACAGCTTTAGGGCACTACCTATATTCAGGTTTTTCATGTCATCTTTTTGTTCAGTTGCAAATTAACAGCTTGTGCACTGACGCACATTTCCTTTCTTCATCTGTCATGAGATGCTTGATTGCAGCATGTTGATGAAATTATACTGAGGCACAAACAAGTAAACAGAAAGCTATGTTAAGATGACATTAAGGGGGAAAAGTAGTGTTTGCAAATTAGCTCAAACCGCTATTTTCAAGCTTCTGAAAGGTTGCTGTGAACATGTGTGAAGTTGAACAAGACAAGACTAACGTCTAAACATCTCTAGATATGCCAGGAGCAGAGTACCTCCCCACGACCTCTGACGTTTCACGCTGGAGGGTTTAGGAGATTACCACCCCAGCCGTCTGTCCTGCTCTTCTGCCGGGAGCGCCTGCCTCCGCCACACAAGACCCCAACCGCGAGCCTGCACCTCTGCCACGACACTCGAAACTAAGCACGCCATCAGCTCCACTTCAGACAGACTTGTCAGCCTGCTGACTTCGGCGCCTGAGAAACGCGGGCCGGTGCCAACGGACAGCTTCAGCCGCAGCAACCCCTGCGGGGAGTCGGAGAGGGTGGGCGGCATCAGACGGGCCGCCTGCACCACGGCTTCAGGCCTCCCCTGCCTCCCCGAGCACCGAAACCCACGCCGGCTGTGCCGCCAGCTCCCTGCGGCGGCGGCGGCCCCGCTCCCGGGCAGCCCCCTC